TCATTCTTGGTCTGTCACTGGTGGTGGTGTGGGAGTCAGGGCCGTTCTTTTAACAATATTTTCCAGGAGGAGCTCAGTTTGATAAAAGAAAAGCAGAACTGAAACAATCTGCGTTACCACTGGAAATCAGAAGCTTTAAAGTTGTTGAAAGGTTAAAAAAAGCACCTCCACAGAGGAAGCAAGTGGTTAAATAAAAAAATAAAATAAAATAAATAAATAAATAAAAGTAACACCGTTGTAGTGTTTTCCTTACAACTCTGAAGTTGAGTCTTCCAATTTGACTCAGTCTCCAGTTGTCAAGATGGCAGCTTCCTGTTCTTTAGCAGGGCAGAGTTAGTATTTATGACTTCATTGCGGGACATTCCTTAAGGGAGACCTCTGGCTAAACACAAATCTCTCTAGTTATGACCGAAAGTTGTGCAGATCAGAGAAGTGTGTTTTGATCTTAAAGGTGCAGGTGTGTTGGTATCAGAGTCCTTTCAAAGGAAAGGCTTGAGGTTTCCAATATGTTGGGCAAGGCAGAATGACCAAGATACTTCTGTGCTGGCCGATTGTGGCATCAGACACAGCATCTGAGAGCCAGACAATATGAGCCATAACATGAAGTAGCCTCATGTTGGTGTATTTTTGGGGGCAAAGATGGTGGGATCTCAGCCTTTGACTAGGGCTCCTAGACACACCACCACAACTAACTGGATGCCCCCCCCGGCAGCAGCCCATTGAGAAGTCCCCTTCCTACAGTGGGCATACACCAACCTTATTGCCGTTAGCCAGAGAGAGCAAACAGAAGAAGCTGTAAACCTCAGGGGGCAAACTACAACCCCCCAACTCAGCTGCTTAGACTTGTTGAGATACTAGTCGCCCACAAGCGCAATAAATGAGATATTAGCCAAGTCACTAGGGAGGATGTATAGGAATTAATCAGACAGCCTGCGTTTTGCAGGCAGCTGCCACTGGCCCTTCATGCAGGCTTCCCATTTGGACACATTCAGACTCCAGCCAGGGGATGGTATCACACCAAATCCTGGAGTCTAAAAATATGCAGACTCCTGCCCCGGAGAGCAGAGCCAGACGTGCAGATTTGCAAGGGCTCACTCAAGCTGTCATAGGGAAACTGGGCCACCGACTGTCTCCCTCTGCAGTGCCACAGCCAGAGGGGAGAGAAGACTGCTCCGTGAGCTGCTGAGTCAACCAGGACTCCTCTGCCTAGAGCAGATGCTTATGCCGAAGGCCATCCCTGCATGCAATTAAAAATAAAACTTGTCTAGCAGCCGTCATCAGCTAGCACTTCCCAACAAGTTTTACAAAAACCCTGCTCAGGTCCCATTACAGCCCACGGCTCACCAGCGTGTTACTAAACACTACCCGAGTACTGAAAGGCCAGGGGCTGCTGAAAAAGTCTTCCTATCTTTGTTGCTAAAGCTTATACAAGACTCCAAAATTTCCTAGGCTCAAATCCACATAGGTCGCTACAGCAGGGGAGGGGGGGAACTTTTCCAAAATGAAGGGGGAAAAAAAGGGCTCATACAACAGATCTTGAGCGGTCGATGGGGTTAAAGAAAACCGTAACTGAAGGCAAAGTGAGAAAAGTGGGGGGGGGGGGGAAGAGGGGGAGAAGAGACACTCTCCAGAAAATCTAATGGCCTATGGCTGCCCCACATGCAAACAGCAGTCAGTAGCCTACTGTAACCATAGTTACCTCACAGCTGGCCAATAATGCATCAGGGCTAGTTGGACTAGCTCAACAGAATCCTGTGATACTACAGCTCTCTGCCCTATTATTGGGAACAGGTTCTCGGAAAGAGAGAAGTCAGTCCATAGGTACGGGGAGGGGGAGAAGGAGAGAGAAATCAGTGACTACTGCATTAGAAGTCTCATGCTGAAAGAGGTACATAGCATTTCCTAAGGAGAATGGGTGTAAAACACCACCCTCACTGAGCCTCTAACAAGTTCTGTACAATAGCTTTCAGAAGCCAGAAAGACCAATGTCCAATGGGAGAGGTGTTTTAAATCAAGACAGGCATACTTGCTTCTACAACAACTGTGCTTTCCAGACAAGGTCAACAGAACAAGGTCCTGGCCCAGAAGGACTAAATCTAAATACTTGGAAACAGTCCCAAGAATCAGAGACAGAGGCAAGGAGAGCAGAAGATGGAGGAGGGAGAGACTCAGCCTTAGGGGAAGCAGGAAATAATTTGCATTTCTGAAGCACCAGGGCTATCAAAGCACTTTGCAAGCAATAATGAAGACAGGGAAGAAGCTAATATCTATTTTACAAAAAAAGGAGGAGAAACAGGTACAGACAAAAGTGGCTTGCCCTAAAAGTCACACAGGAAGCCTGGGGCAGAGCTGAGATAGAGGATCTTGGTTCTAGCCCCAACCACCCCCATCCCATTAACCATCCCTTGTTTATACAGTGAAGCCCTGTTTACGCTAAGGAAATTCTGTAAGCTAACTTTCCATCACTAGCAGGTCAGTTCCATGGGTGTCTGCAGGGCTAGGGTCCCCAATACGGCCAACACTGGTAGAGCTGAACTAGCATTAGCAATGATGGGAAGGGGTTTAATTCTTTTTAAAACAGTTTTAGAAGATTTCCCCCTAGGATAGACCAGGCCTTAGAGTTTGGAAGTTTTCAGAGGAAGATTCCAGTCTAAGTCAGGGTTTCACAACTGGCAGAATTCCAGTGAACTAAAACACCACAGGATTCACCTACTCTGCTATGAAAAGTTTCGCAATGGTCAGATTTGCTAACAAGGAGGTGCCGCAGTGCTCTTCCTCGACTACAGCCAGAGTGCCTGGCACAGACACCATACAGCCTAGCTCCTCAGTCCCCTTACCCTCCCATCCCCACTGTCTGAGAAAGCCCCCGTTCTCCCTCTCCTAAGCCACCACATCAGCGGTCCCCAGATAGCAGCAGTCCCGCTTGCCATTTTCATTAGTCACAGTCCAACTGGACCCAAGGGAAGATGTAGAAATCCCACTTTCAACCGCACTCTGGAGCACGAGCCCTTCACCAAGGAGCGGCTTCTCACCATCACATCACAACTTGGGAGCCACATAGACTGAACAGTGTGAGAAATGGAAGCGTCAGATGATCACCTGGACCCAGCTCTGCTGGGCTTTGCCGCCAAGCTACTCAGGTGGTCATCTCTCTTTGACCTCATGTTTGGGTAAGCATTGGAGTCAGAGCTGTGTCAGCATATTGCTGGCACTTCTGTGAATCAAGCGGTATAGGGTGGGGTTTTTTTGTTGGTTGGTTTTTTTTTGGGGGGGGGGGGGGGGATTTTGGGGGGGGGGAGAGAACATTCTCTGCAAGGTACACAAGTATACACAATCTTTCCCCACTCCCCTGAACTGGTCCTTTACAGTCAATAATTCTATAAAAAGAGAGGCACCAAGACACTCTTCAAACAGTTCTCTCTGAGCACCTTCCATATCAGAAACAGGGTCTTAACATAAATAAATCAAAAGCAGTTCATTTAACATGAGGTGTTGAGAATTCAGATTTTAGGGCAAGTATCTATATGGCCCTCCCTCCCCAAACACACACTACAGTGACAGCTGAGTTTAACCCTTACACTTGCTTGTGTTTCAAATATCCTCCACTATGGTTTGGCCTCTAAACACAGTCATACCGAGTTAGGACCAAGCACATAACACATGCTCCAACCCAGCTAAAGGTGACTTAGGTATGGCTGTGGACTTTTAACTCACTTCAGTCCTATTCACACAAGCTGGGACAAACTAGAAACTTCACACTTCAGATCTTAAAACTATACGGAAGAGATCTAGTGAGGAGGGGCAGGAAATGGGTGGAAGGGCAGTTTATCCCACATTAGTTTACTGTGGGAACCAGTGTTGAAGACAGGGTCCTGGAGTAGATGGATCCCGGAGCTGAACCCATCTGACAAGTCCTATGTTCCAAACCCCGGCAATGCCCCAAACTTTATGGGGAAGTTCAGACTCACAGCTGAGCTTTAGGTCAACACCCCGGGTCTGTTTTAGGGTTTTACACCGCCACCCATCACCATAGCATCTGAGGGCCTGCCGCATAAAATCAACACTGTTGTCAGAGCCATGCCCGCAACAACGGAATTTGAGCAATTCTAAGCAACTGCTCCCCAAACCGGGGTTGGGGGGAGCGCAGCGCACGCACACACGCACACACGCACACACGCACACACATTTGCTTTGACCAGATGGCTCTCACACCTGAAACAGGTAGAGGAGAAACCCACAGTTACCCTGGACAGGGAGACAGTTGCCAGAAGCCTGCTAGTACCCACTAGGCTTAAACACAGTCTGTTACCAAGGCTATTCCGCCCCCGCATGCACAGACCCTGCGCAGAGAAAGTTTTGTTCCTGCTGCCCATGATCCAAGGAAGAAACTCCCCCATCCCCACCCCCCCCCTGAAAGGGAAGGGGAGGAGGGAGAATGGAGCAGAGGATGGGGGAAGGTGGCGAAATATTAGTCACACTCCTGCTGAAGCCCACAGGAGGTAGAAACGAAACAACAGACAATGTAATCCAAGCCCTACTAGCAAGGAGAGGGGCTGGATGGTCCAAAAAGCTGCCCCCCCTCCGCCAGTCCTCTGCATAACAGAACTCCATGAAAACCAGTCTCTTGAAACTCCCAAATAATGAAACTCCCAGTACAAAGGTAGTATGGGTGTGGGGGGAGTGGAGGGAGTGGGGGGGTCACATGGGGCTCAATATGGTCATACTGAACTCAACCTCTAAGTTCAGGGGCAGATGGACCAGGAGGACAAGGGGAAGCCAGCAAATGGGGAGGTAAAGCCAGCAGGCGCTGCGGCCGGGAATCTCACAGCCCTGGGGAGCGGGGGCCCTACACCCGGAAATGCAATGGGCGAGGAGAGCGGAATGGCACTGCGGCAGGGAAGCGCGCGGGGGGGGGGGGGGAGGGGGGGGGGGGGGGGGGCGCGGGGGGGGGGGGGTGGCACTGCGGCGGGGAAGCTCGCAGCCCGGCCATGAGGGCTCACCGCGGTACGGCAGGCTCCCGGAGAGGCGCACGGTGACGGTGCCGGCCAGCGGCTCCCCGGGGCTGTAGACGACCCGGCTCTCGCTCAGGTGGATCTCGAACAGCTGCAGCTTCCCCATGGCCGGGCCCCGCTGCTGCTCCCCGCAGGGCTCCGGGCGGCGGCGGCTGCTTCTTCCCTGGCCGGAGCAGGGGCGGCTCTACCTGCTGCTAGTGACGCGCCGGGCCGGGGATGTCCCTGCCTCTTAAAGGGCCAGCACCGCCCTCCCCCGGGCCGGCAGCCGCGGCGGGGGATGCCTAGGAGGTGTGGCCCCAAACGGGGTGTCCCGCCCCGGCGCGCCCCATCCCGCACCCTGCAGCTAGCGGGGGAGGGACCCCTGCCTCCTGGTCTGATGCCCGGAGATCTGGATCCAGCCAGGGAGAAAGCCTGTTTCCAAGCAGGGCTCTGTTTGTTTCAGAGTGGTGGCCCTGTTAGTCTGTATCAGCAAAAACGACCTGTCTCTCTCTGTCCAACTGCCCGCCTGTCTCAGGGAGATAAACCCAATCGCCTGCAGCGGCTAGGGGCAAAGGGACTGTGCTCCAAATGCACCACTTCCTACCCTGAATCGTAAGGAAAGGGGAAACAGGGTGGGCAGGTGCCTCTTGAAGATAAGAGCCATCGGTCCTTTATTCCCTTGCAGTGCAGGCAGTATCCGACTAGTGGGGAGGATTATGAAGAATCCAGCCTTCCTCAACTAGTGAGGGGTGGGCCGCACCTTGCACCCGAGGTGCCAGGTTGTGAGACTGCTCTGTCCTCAGAACCATCTACCGCCCTCCCTCCCTATCCTGCTGTGTCTCCATCCCTGTTGTATGTGCTGAGCAAGTCAATACAGTCAAAATACCATTTATTTAGCAATGAACTGGTGTGACTTTAGTGCTGCTGAAAGGCTTCTCCTGGAGACTCAGGCCTGGGTGAGGACAGGCAGGTTGTGCACACTGGAAGAATTAATAAGCCCTGTTTATCCACAGAACAGGGATAGTATTGACAGCAGCCCTTTAACTTCCCGCCACGCTGCTCCATTTCTCAACTCAGATTTTTAAGAGACTCCAGCTGATATGACCAATTATTCTGCCCTGGGTCTCTCTATGATGAGACTGCCAGTAAAGAGGGGGGCAAGAACTGTCAGTCCTGATGGTAGTTCCTGTGATGAGAATGGCTATCCAGTAGAAATGGACTTGAAATTCCAATTAATTTTACCCGGACCCCTTAGCAGCCATTAGCTGGGAAAGGGAACAGCTGTTGGTTACCACCAACCTGGCTGGATTCACACTGGTGATTAAGGCCTGGGCTCTGTTAGCACTTTTCTTAAAGTCTCCTGCCATTGCACTAGCATTGGTACAGTCCCGCTAGTACTGTAGTAGCAAAAGTGGGAGTGCTCTGTCCCACTAATGATCCCATCCCTAGTGGCTTTCATCCAAGGTACTTTACCAGTGCTAATAATTAAACTTCACCACAACTCTCTGAAGTCAGTAGGCATAGAATTATAGGGCTATAAGGGAGCAAAGGTCATCTAGCGCCAAGAGACAGGATTTGCATCTAAACCATCCAAGACAGGTGGCTCTCCAGCCTCCTTATGAAAATTTCCAGTGAAGGAGCTCCCACAACCTCCCTAGGCAGTCTGTGCCATTGTCCTTCTGTTCTTACAGTTAGGAAGTTTTTCCTGAGATTTAATCTAGATCTGCCGTGGTGTAGTTTGAACCAATTGCCGTTTCTCCTGCCCTCTGTGGCAAGAGAGAACAACTTTTCTTCAACTTTTTTATGGCAGCCTTCAAATATCTGAAGACTGCTATCGGGTCCTCCCTTAATCTCCTCTTTTCCAAATTAAAGAGTCCATCCCTTTCATCATCTTTGTCGCTCCCTCAGGATCCTTTCCAGTTTCTCTACATCCTTTCTATACATTGGTGAACAAATCTGGACACAGTACTCCAGCTGAGGCTTAACCAGCGCTGAGTAGAGAGGTACTATCACTTCCCCTGACTTGCATGCTATGCCTCTGTTAATGGAACCTAAAATTGCATTTGCATTTTTTTGCAACAGCATCGTATTGCTGATTCATGTTGAGGTTGTGATCCACCACAACTCCCAGATTCTTCTCAGCAGTGCTGTCACCAAGCCAGTTATTCCCCATTCTGTATTTGTGTCCATTTGGGTTTTCTTCCTTAAGTGTAGCACCTTACATTTGTCTTTGATTAATTTCATTTTGTGGTCTATAGCCCAGTTCTCCAATGTGTCACGCTCTGAATTTTAGTTCTACCCTCCAAAGTATTGGCAACTCACACAGCTTTGTGTCATCTGCAAACTTGATCCGGATGCTCTCTATTCCTACATTCAGGTCATTAATAAAGATGTTAAACAACACCGGACCCAGAACACATCCCTATGGAATCCCACTTGAGACCTCCCTCCAATCTGATATCATTATTATCCCCACTTTACACAAGGGAAACTGGCACCGAAAAGTGAAATGACATGCCCAAGGCCAAAGTGTGAATAAGTAGCGGAGCCAGGAATAGAACATAAGCACCCTATTCGCTGGTCTATCCACTAGGTATGCTCCCTATGCTGTAATACAACTGCAAGCTGTAAATTTTATATCTCTTTCTGGATAATGAGTATTTTTCTAATATGGATGGTTATGAAACCTCAGAATTGACTCTTTTGCCAGGAGCTACAAGGATCCATGGTTGCAGTTTGCTTAGCAATTTACATGACATAACTATATGGACCCAATGTCTTACCACTTGAATGCCAACTCACTCACCATTCCCTACTCCTCATCTCTTGGTTGATTATGTTCTGCCTATGGGGTATGTACTCATAGGCTATTTACATACCTAATTGTCTGCTCATCTGCAGCTACATGTATGCACTGAAAGTACAATTCTTATCTAACAGCACATAAAGAAGCATGAGGAATGAAAATCACAACTAGAGTTGGTGGGAAAAAAGAATGTTATATTAACATTTTAATTAAAGTATTTTTGTTTAATTTGAATGTTTACAGAATTTTTTTGACAAAAATGTCTAAACAAAAATTTTAGTTTTAAAAAAAAATTGTTCTGAAATGTTTTTGTGGGCGGGGAGGTGTAGTCCCACTTTCTCTTACTTTTTAAAAATCCCTCCCTTCCCCTCTTTTTTTCTGCTGAAAAAAGATACAGTTTAAAAGTACGATGAAGCGAGATTCTCCCTACAATTTTAAAACAAATTTTTCATTTGGAAAGTTCATCAAAAATCTAAAAGTGTTGAGGAATATGAAATTTTTCCTGGAAAAATGTAACTGTTGTCAAAATCCCAGGTTAAAAAACAAATAACCGCATCTGTTCTGCTTAGGGACCAAAGACACCAGCCTCTATGTGGGGAGCAAAGAGTAGCTGTATTTATGAAATAAAATGAGGATACCAATGTACATATGCAAAGACCAGCAGTAAGTGCAAAATATTATTAGTATATAATAGAGCTATCTGTACGGGGGAAGGTGTAATGATTAAAGCACAGGAGTTTTCTTCTGAATCAGATCTAAGTTCCATTCCTTCGCCGTCTCTTCCTGGGTGACTTGGGCCAGGTGTGTCTCAGTTTCTCCACCTACAAACTGAGGATGATAACACTTACCTTGCCAAGGGAGGTTGTGAGGCTGAATTTGTGAGGCAACCGGTGACTTCAGTGAGAAGTGCTATCGAAATGTCCCTAAATAGCTACCTAATGACTGATATGCACATACACATAGGCCAGTTATGTGAACACATCAAGGTGAGGCAACTCCTCTTTATCTTTAGTGCAATTGCAAATCACAGGACCATTTCCAGATGATTTGTGGTTCCTGGAGTGTGCTGTGGGAGCCAGGCACGCGTTGTGGATTTCATAGACTGAAGGGCACTGTCACAATTCCTCGGCCTGTTATCTTTTCTAGGCAACGTATTACCACTGGAGAGAAAGCCGTGCAGTGTAATGAACCTCCCATAATGTCATAAGCCAGGCACGTGAGCTACAGCCATGGTGGGAGAAGAAAAATACTAGTATAGGCAAAGCCAAGGTAGCCAAAGCTTACAGCTGAGTCGGGCCCCTGGATTTATATCAAAAAGATCAAGAGGTGACTTGATTATACTGTCTAAGCACCTTCACGGGTACTAACAGGGCTCTTTAATCTAGCGAAGAAAGGCATAACAAGAACCAATGACCGGAAACTGAAGCCTCATCTGAAAACACACACCCCTCAAGCCAGCTAATGTCTGGATCTTTTCTACTTCTGTTGCAGGCATTTGTAGACAAAGTAGCAGATACCAGAGTATTCCAGGTGAAGTCACACCAGGGATTTATTTAAATACTGGTATTATAACATTTCCCTCACCATTCTCTGTCCTCGTCTCAGCACACTGTCACATCTTAGCTGGTTTCTGACCACCACACTCTAGTGTTGTTATTTATTTATGATAGCACCACTCATAGAATATCAGGGTTGGAAGGGACCTCAGGAGGTCATCTAGTCCAACCCCCTGCTCAAACCAGGACCAATCCCCAGACAGATTTTTTGCCCCAGATCCCTAAATGACCCCCTCAAGGATTGAACTCACAACCCTGGGTTTAACAGGCCAATCCTCAAACCACTGAGCTATCCCTCCCCCCCATAATTAATGGAGATATCCCATCTCCTAGAACTGGAAGGGACCTTGAAAGGTCATCCAGTCCAGCCCCCTACTTTCACTAGCAGGACCAAGTACTGATTTTTGCCCCAGATCCCCAAGTGGCCCTTCAAGGATTGAACTCACAACCCTGGGTTTAGCAGGCCAATGCTCAAACCACTGAGCTATCCCTTCCCCCCATTCATGGCCTAGGACCCCACTGTGCTAAGAACAGTCCAAAAATATAACAAAATCAAGCCGATGTCTTTATTGAGCTATTCTCTGTGACTCAGAAGTCGCTGCTAATCCTTGACCCATCCATTTATTATTTGTACTGCCATAGCACCTAGGAACCCCAGCCACCGAGCAGGACCCCATTCATAGACTCACAGAGTTTAAAGCCAGAAGGGACCATTAGATCATCTAGTCTGACCTCCTGGATAGCACAGGCCTTTAAATTTCGCCCATTGACCCCGTTTTGATCCCAATAACTTGTGTTGGACTAAAGCATCTCCCAGAAAGGCAGCCAGTCTTGATCTGAAGAC